TCGCCTCCAACCTAACAGGCCTCGTAACCTGACAGCGATGGTCTCCAACCTAACAGCAATGGCATCAGACCTAAAATGCGGTGGCATCCAGCCCACTAGCGATGGCCTCCAACCTACTAACGATTAGCGGTGGCCCCCAACCTAACAGCGATGGCCTCCAACCTAATAGCAGTGGGCTCCAGCCTAATAGCGATTGCCTCCAACATAACAGCATTGGCCTCCAACCTAAAACCTATAGAAATGGCCTCCAACCTATAGAAATGGCCCCCAACCTAGAAGCGATGGCCTCCAACCTAACTGCGATGGCCTCCAACCGGTGGCCTCCAACCTAACAGCAAACCTCACAGCGATGGCCTCTAACCTAACAGCGATGGCCATGTCCATGTCGGGCGGCTTCGATGTCGCTTGTCTGGGGCTCCTGCAAGTGAGTCCACGTGCTCAGGCCATAAGCGGCACTGTCCTCACAGATCCCGCGATGGAACGAAAGGAGACCGTTGGGTGTCTTGCAAAACCAAACATCATCTCCCACAATCGTAGGATGCGGCGGGCTGCCAAACCCTTGTATCTTATCAGATATTGATATTACCTTATAACCATTATTATTTCAAATATTAACCTTCAGTTCACACCACCAAAAATTACGTTTAATAGTCTGAATCCTGAAAAAACAACACCTAAAAACCATAGCTTATAGGATTTTACACTATAACTTCTAAATCCAGGTCAACCGAACTCAAGGCTTCCTAGAAGGCGAGTGCCACAGTGACACCACGTTTACATGGATCGAATAGCATCCTCACAGTGGCACCGTGTGCCAAGTTCACCTTGGGACCCCTTGGGAAGCTTTTGTTTGTTCCTACGTTGTCCTGGATTCTTCCTGGAAATCCGGCGTTCGACCGCTCGGATTGGGAGCCTAAAACTGCTCACTATCTGGTGCTCACTGAGTCCCGTTGTTTTGGCCGGAAAGCCTAGGGATGGGCGAAAAAAGCGTTCAACAAAATCCACCTCCAAACCCAGTGGCACGGTCGCAGCCAAGGGTTCACATTCACCAATACCCCGAACCCTCGGCCGATGTGTCGTATACGGATTTAAGGACTTCATGAGACTTCGGGACTTCATGGCCTTCCAGCCTTGAGCATGGAAGCCATGGAATGCGTCCCAAAGTCAAATCGACCCCAGTGCATCCCAGTTAGTACTAGATATAGGGAACCAGGGGCCCTTCGGAACCGGTCGGACTGGTTTGAGTCGTTGCCTGGAACCACGACGGGACTCCCAGCGAGCTCTCGTGGGTTGCCTGGATGCCCTGGGGAAGGCTTCATTCCTTGGCCCTAGCAGGTCGATGCAGAGTACTGAGTACCGCAGCACGGATGTCTCAGAAATCTGAGACTGCGCCGAGTCAATCCTTGCCGGCCAATTCTGCCGTTTTCTTCTCACAGTGACAACAAAGAGATTCCAGAAAGCGATTCCGGCGCTGAACCGAGACTCTCCAGCTTCTCTCGGGCTGGAGGGTGTCGCGTCGTCAGCTCGCTCGGCGTCGTCCGCTTCCGTCGTCCCCCCCACTCACCCACCCGCCTCGCTCGCTGGAAGCTGAAACTTCTTCGCACGCTTCCCAGACGGCAACCTGCGCGAGGCATTTTGGTCCCGCGATGCTTCGAAAGGTCAGGTTGCTTGATTGATGTCTTTCGGTTGTTTGCTTCTTTTGCTTTGTTTTGTGATGTTTTGGATTGTTTTGGCTTGTTTTGGTGTGGTGCGAGGGGCATCGCCGTGAGATGCCGTGAGTGGTGGAAACGGTGAGGGGCGTGTTGCCGTTGTTGCACCATGCGTTGTTGCCGTAAGGCTCCATGGTGTGCAACACCGCTGAACCTTCAACAGCAACAAGACGATCAACTGCATCTCAAACTCGTAGATCCCTTGAATTGAAACCTCCTCAGACTTGGTACAGTACCCAATGATATGGAAGAGTCGGAATAGTATATGTATATATATATATATATTATATACACCTGTCACATTTTAAACACATTGTTGAACGCCAACACTTCACCACCACTTGGCTGACTCGCACATACTCGCACCACCCAGCTGCAGCGTTTCTTTCAACTCTATGATCAGGTCTTGCAGGTTTTTGAGCCAAGGCAACAAGGCGGTCAGCCAGGCGGAGCTGACACTCCAAGATCCTCGAGCTGACCAACTCAATCCAAGCTACACCGAGTCGCCGTATTGGCTCAATCCGTTGGCGAAGACGCAACGACGGTTCATTTGTGTCACAAATGGTTTGACAAGGGGACCGGAAAGAACAAATACGACTGCCCCTTGTCGCGCAACCAGACCTTCCTCACTACATCATATTCACGACATTTGCCACGAAACTTTCATGAGAGCAGTTTTGCAGCAAACCTAGAAAAAGGTCTTGAGCCGGCCCAGCCACGAGCAGCTGCCATAGCTGCAAAGGTTTCTATTTGTTTGTCGCTTGGCTTTAAACCGCACCAAAAAGGGCAGGCCTCTCGTCCGGATAGAACCCAGGACTGAGTGGCGACATGAATTGAAAAATGCTCACAGC